AGATGTGATGTAATAATACATGGAGGGGGCAGATGTGAGGTAATAATACATGGAGGGGGCAGATGTGAGGTAATAAAAAGCAGAGGAGGCAGATGTGAGGTAATAATAAGCGGAGGGGGAAGATGCGAGGTAATAATACATGGAGGTGATGGAAGTGAGATAATATGTGGAGAGGGCAGATGTGAGGTAATGTATGAAGTGGAGGGGCATAAGGTAATAAAAATTACAGGGGAGGAGGAAAGTGAGGTAATATTACATGGCAGGGGCACATATGGCGTAATGAAACATGGAGGGTTGCAGATGTGAGGTAATAATTACACGTAGGCGATGGGAGTAAGGTAATAAAATGTGGATGGGACCAGTGGCGGACTGACCATTTGGAAACTCGGGCACTGCCTGAGGGCCCGGGGTCAGTAGGGGGCCCCATGAGATGCCCCTGGCACCTTTTTCATAGGCTTTTTTGAGTTTGGGCAAGGGCACAGGGGCCCCATGATCCCCTATTGCCCAGGGGCCCATGAGTTGTCAGTCCGCCCCTGGATGGGAGGGTAATATTACTTGGGGGAGAAGAGGTAACTGAGGTAATAATACAGAGTGTGAAGCAATAGTACATAGCCATAGAAGGTATTAATACGTGGCTGCTGGAGAAGGGGACGCAGTAGCAGCATGCATGTAGTAGCATGTGAGGTAATAATCTTTCATCGTGACAGAAGTAAGGTAATAATATGTAGAGGGCATAAAATAGTCACACCTCACCTAGAGGACACACAGTCAGTCTCTAAAGTTCTCTATTACTGTAATACCACAGACACCGGAAGTGGCACCGCCACACAGCAGGAACCAACCAACACCAGAACACGCACTTCCCGCGCTTTTCTTCTCTGCAGGCGTAGTAAAGAGAGGCTCCGCCGCCTCACCCGACTCTCTGTGGAAGCTCCACCCCCTATCGTGATTTACCGGCCTGTAAGTCTTCTGAGTCTCTAGGCGGGAGGCCATCATTCCTGAGCCTTCGATGTACTTCTGACAGTCTGACTACTCAAACATGACCGCCCCTTCTTAGCCTCTTGTGACTCCTCCAGGGCGGGCTGAAGCTCTCCTTTCAGTGAAGAATCGCTGGATCTCCTGAGAAGTCTCACAGAGAACTCCTGCTGGGTAAGTAGGTTATACAGAGGGTTGTCCTGTCGATCAGCTTCAGACAGTTGTATTTTTTAACTGTGGATTCGGGAAGAGCTCAGATTTTTATCAGTTTATTATTATTTCTGATTGTGGCCCCCATTGGAAATTCTTCCCTCACTTCCTGTCCTGACACTTTGGGGGGCATAAGTCAAATCTCCTCACACAATCTCCATCCTGTACATTGAAGGTTTTTGGTGGGATGGCCCATACACCAATTGTGAGTCTGTTTTCTGACAGTTTATCAACCCTTTCACTGCCAGAGGTGGTTTTGGCGGTTTTTTCCACACATGGAAATAATTGTAAGTGGAGATTACTTAAAACCCCCCAAACTTTGTATATTTTCAGAAAGCAGACAGCCTGGAGGATGAAATTGTGGTTCCAGTTTTTTTTTGTGTCACACGATATCAGTGCAACAGTTTGTCAAGTGTAATGCCCCATACACACTATAAGAAAATCGTTCGAATATTTTCGTACGAGGACCGATCGTCCGATAATCGGATCGTCAGTAGACAGCTTTCGAGAGCCGATCACAAAAATATCCGAAGGGACAAGCGCAAAAATGTTTCTCGTACGACACCAGATTGCACGATTTTTGTTTAATCAGTACAGTAGTCGTCTGAAAATACAATACAAATACAACGCAATACATGACATCACTTTCGAATTTCTTTTCTTTCAAAGGAGAATTTTCATATCTTTAGTAACCTTTTTCCTTTCGATGTGAGACTAGCAGGCGAAAAAAAAACGGCCAATCGTTTGTCTGATATTCTCCCTGTGCCTGTGTGGGTTTCCTCCAGGTACTCCAGTTCAAGGCCGATATTCTCATCGTGTGTACGGGGCATTAGATTTAGGCTCCAAGTACACGAGCCTACCCTGACCGCCGGCCGTGGGAAACTGCGATTTTGCAGCGTTTTGCGTTTTCCAGCGGTCAAGGCGTACCTATCATGAACGCGATTCTTACGAGTTCAGGAGAGGGAGGTTTACCCTCACCTAAACACGGCAGATCCTAAACTCTACTAAAAGCCTACGCGTACATGGACACACAGGCTTTTATGGAGTTGTGGCAAAAAAATGCCAAAAGCTCCTGAACTCGAGTTTAAGAGCTGCTCATGTACATGAAAACCTAAGGCCGGCCATAAATGGGTCGAAAATCGATGGATTTTACATCCGAGAATCAGACCTAAGAATAATCGGCCGATTTTTTGCTCTGTTAGTGGGTCAATGGTACTGGCCAATTTTTGTGGTTCCTCCCCTTTTCGGTGATCAGGTATGTTGGAAAATTCATGAAAAAACGACCGATTTTTGACTCGATGGTCAAATCGTTTTTCCGAAAAGAATATGCGCATTAGCCGTGACCTGGTAGGAACAGAAGTTTTGCATGTTATATGGGGTGAACATTATGACTTGGTTGGCTGATTTTCAAAATCAATGATGGCACCATCGGATTACCAAGCGAACAGCGTTTCTGATTTTCGGACGAAAAATCGTTCGGAATTCGAACCATGTATGGCCTGCATTAGTGCAAAATAGACTAAAGTTAATTTTAGGGCACACAAATGCAATGTATTACTCTGCTGTCTGGTAACATATAAAAGAAGAGAGTAAATAGATACCAAACACATCAACCCTTAACATTGCAGGCAGCACAGTGGCTTAATGGTTAGCACTTCCACCTGGCAGTACTAGGGTTGTTGGTTCAAATCCCAACCACAGCACCACCTGCCTGGAGTTGGCATGTTCTCCCTGTTCCTGTGTGGGTTTCCTCCAGGTACTCCAGTCTCCTCGCACATGCTCCTGTTTAAATTGTCCCTAGTACGTGGATATGAATTAGGGACCTTAGATTGTACACCCCTTGAGGGTTAGGGACTGATGTGAATGTACAATATTTATGTAAAGCACTGTATAAATTGACAGCACTATATAAGTACTTGAAATAAATAAAATAATTGTGCGTGCCTCTGAAACAGCAACATACTTTGATATACTTACATTTTCCATAGGAGACACTCTAAAAGTCCTTTCAGGTTATCTGTTTAGGCTTCAAGGCTGTGTGCGGCTCTGACTAAAGTTGAATAATGCACTTGCTATAGATGTAGGCCTTTTACATACCTCCTAAAGCCTGACTGGAAGACTCCCAGGACAATGGTGGGACGTTGCTAGGAGAGGCCTAGTTATTACTGCCCTCTTCCATCATTACAGGAGTAACTTTCAAGTTCTGAGCTCAGAGCTATAGCATCAGGGGATAGAAAGAGCATGTAAGGGGGTTTGAATCAGAGGAAGCGCTTCCTCCTGTGATGGTGGAGGTGGGCAGTAACAAGTAGGCCTCTCAACAACGTCCTACAAATGTACTGGGAATATTCCAGGCAGGCTTCAGGAGGTACATAAATGGCTTACATCTATAGCAAGGGCATTATTTAAAGGGGAGTTCCACTCAAACTGTCAAAAAAAAAAGTCAGCAGCTACAAAAACTGTAGCTGCTGACTTTTAAAAAACACACACTCACCTGTTCCTCAGTCCCGCGGTGTGTCCCCTGCAGCCTGTTTTACCGGCTGTCTTCTCTCCCTGGGTGCCGGCATCTTCAGTGTGGGCACCCGGCTGTGATAGCTTGCGGCTTCACAGCTGGGTACCCACTGCGCATGCGCGAATAGCGCTGCGCTTCCTGTAGTCTTCTGGGACCTGTCACATGTCCCAAAAGACTACGGCAATCGGAGTGGAAGTGGGAGCGGGTACCTGTCAAATTTGGGTACCCGCTCCCCCCCCTACCCCCCAAGGTATCAGTCCTTATTGGGGAGCGGGGGACCAGTCTTTAAAACGGAATTTCTCCTTTTGGATGGAGCTCTGCTTTAACTTTAGTCAGAGCTTCACAGCTTGGTTTTTATCTACAGACGTCCCTTACCTGCATAGACAATTTGTTTGTTAAATGCGATCTTTAACCACTTGCCTACCAGGCACTTATACCCCCTTATTTACCAGGCCAATTTTCAGCTTTCAGTGCTACCGCACTTTGATTGACAATTGCGCGGTCATGCAACATTGTACCCATATGAAATTTTGATCATTTTTTTCTCACAAATAGAGCTTTCTTTTGGTGGTATTTAATCGCCGCTGGGCGCTTTACTTTTTGAGCTATAAATAAAAAAAGTGCAAAAAATTTGAAAAAAAAAAACAAAACGTTTCTTTGTTTCTATTATAAAATTTTTCAAACAGGTATTTTTTCTCCTTCACTGATGTACATTGATGAGGCAGCACTGATGGCACTGATAGGCGGCACTGATGGGCACTGATAGGCAGCACTAAAGGGCACTGATAGGCAGTACTAATGAGGTGGCACGGATAGGCAGCACTGATAGACAGCACTAATGAGGTGTCACGGATAGGCGGCACTAATATGCAGCACTGATAGGCGGCACTGATAGGTGACACTGATGATGGGTACTGATAGACGGCACTGACTGGCATCACTGCTGGGCACTGACTGGTGGCACTGACTGGCAGCACTGCTGGGCTGCTCTGGTGGGCAGCACTGGTGGGTGGGCACAGGTTGGTGGCACTGGTGGGCACAGGTGGGTAGGCACAGGTGGGTGGCACTGCTGGGCACAGGTAGGCGGCACTTCTGGGCACAGGTGTGTGACACTGCAGAGTGGCACAGGTGGGTGCACTGCTGGGCACAGGTGGGTGCACTGCTGGGCACAGGTGGGTGATCTGCTGGGTACAGGTGGGCGGAGCTAGTGGGCGCACTGCTTGGCACAGGTGGGCGGAAATTGCGGGTGGCACTGCTGGGCACCGATCATCAGGGCACTGATGATCGGTGCCGATCCCCGCTCTGACAACTGCCGGTTCTCGGCAGTACTTTCCTCACGATCTGACAGCGTGAGGAAAGTGCAGCCGAGAACCGGCACTTGCATTTCCCTCTGATCAGCGTGTCATTGGACACCGCTGATCACGTGGTAAAAGGACGCTGTGATCGGCCTTATACCACATCACGTGATCAGCTGTGTCCGTAGGACACAGCGATCACGGAGATCGCCGGGTGCGTGCCCCCTGGGGCGCGCAGGAGAGCGCGTTCTGGGAGGCCGTCATATGACGTCCACCCAGAACTGGCCGGCCGCTGTGCAGCCATCATTCAGCTATCTGCGGTCGGCAACTAGTTAAAGTGGTAGTAAACTCAGATTTTTCACTTGAACCTGCAGGTAAGCTTATCTATAGGTACAATCAATGTGCGCTGTTTAACCTCTTCCCATCCAGCCCATTCTGACAAACGGCCGGGCGGGAGCACTGCCAATGCGGGGGGATGTTTCTGAACATTCCCCTGCATCCATTGCCTGTGTGTGCTCCCTGGGAGCGTGTGGCACCGTGATCGAACACAGATCACTGTACGGGAAGTCTTTGTGAGGTCCTGATTCATGTGATCACTGATTGGCCAATCAGTGATCACATGAATAGTAGTAAACAAGATGTCACTTCTGACATCATTGCTTACTACTTGTGAAATCTGTGAATGATCACAGAGGTCACATGGTACAAGGCAGGAATGCAGACAGAGAGAAGGAGAAATGATTGCTTTTACAGCCTTTATGCTTATGTAAAAGCAATCAGTGTAAAAAAAGAAAAAAAAAATCTTCATCACCCCTCACAAGTAGTACAGTGTCACTATGGTGACACTATACTGCTAGGGTGACAGTATGTTAAAAAAAAAAAAAATAATTTAAAAAAATAAAATAAAAATGTAAAATACATTTTTTAAAAATTATAATTTTTGGCTATAAACTAATTTGGGTTATATTTTTTTAATAAGAAGATAGATGAATACATTTTGGCCAAGATTTATGAAGAAAGATTATTTATTTGCAAAATTGTATAAGAAAAGCACTTTTTTTTTCAAAATTTTTGGACTTTTTCATTTATATAGCAAAACAATTAAAATCCCAGCGGTGAATAAATACCACCAAAATAAAGTTTTATCTGTTTTCCAAAGAATGCAAAAAAAAATCATATGGGTAAAGTGTTGCATGATCGCGCAATTGTCATTCAAAGTGTGATAGCACTGAAAGCTGAAAATTGGCCTGGACTAGAAGGGGGTGAAAGTGTCCGAACTTGAAGTGGTTAAAAGATATTCACAATTTCAGCAGTCAGTGACGTTCTGATACATACGCAATGCGGTCTGCATTGAGGGTACACTGAGTGACTCCATGCGTCGGCTGAAGTACGCAAACCCAGAAGGAAGACCAGGTGAAGATGGAAGCCCTGGCAGCGGTGATGGCACGCTGCTGGATGGCTTCGTTTGAAAGGTCATTGTGCCATAATGTGCAAGTATGTGGTGCATAGTGTCCCTAATCCATCTCAGGTACAAACAAGAGAGGGTGGCTACATTCCTACATACAGTGGGACAATGGAAAACGAATGTAGCCAACTTCTAACAGGAAGCCAGATTACAGCAGCACAAAAAAAGATATTTGGAGGAGGCTGAGAGCCATAGAAAGAGCTTTATAAGTTAATAATACATACTTATCAATAACCTTCCTTGAAAAAAGAACAGTTTAGTGTCACTTTAACTGTGAATAATGGTCCTAGAATTATTGCTTCCACTCTGGTGTGCGCGGCGATATGTATCGTATGATTTCGCATGTAGGCGACTCCGTGCATGTGTTTGCATTCATATGGTGGTGAAGCTGCTAAAAGAATTGTTTAGTGAGGGTGTTTAAAGTGCTTAAGTGTAATCTTATTTTTTTTTTTAAATTCAAAATACTCTAATTGAGAAGGAGGAGAGTGTGATGTCACTGCCCCTTTTTTTACACCTTGTACAGTCTGAAAACGTCACGACTACTACAGCGACTGTTTGCTTCCATGGTGGTTGCTCAGGTATGATATATGCACACTTGCATTTGTCTAAGCTGGACCAGTATAAAGCTGGCACTATACTTTTGTTTTTAATTCTTTATCAGTTTGCATGTCATACCGGGATTATTGGGGCCTATCTGCTCCCATAAACAACAAGCAGCCTGGGCCAGGAGCATGATACACATATCAAGATAAAAGTCAACTGTGAAGTGACCACAGATAGGCCAACAGAGATAAAGGCCATCAAAGCAATAACTTTTTAGCTCCCTTTGCCCAAAATCCTCTGACAAACCTAAATCCCATATAACTTAACTTTTTTCAGTAAAGTGGAAAAAGATTAAAAGATAGAACGAAAGTAAAAGAGGGGGAAAGAAAGCCATAGCTGTGGAAGGGAGAGCAAAAATAAAAAAAAAGGAGGAGGTCAGGGAAACGAGTGCGCTGCCAGAGGAAGACTAGCTTAACCACTTGGCAACCGCGCTATAGCCGAATTATGGTTGTCCAGTTCTGGGAGGAAGTCATATGATGTCCTCTCAGAACGCGCCCTCCTGCGCGCCCATAGCGGTGCGCACCCGGCGATCTCCATGATCGCTGCTGCTACGGACACAGCTGATCACGTGATGTGGTAAAAGGCCAATCACAGCGGCCTTTTACCACGTGATCAGCTGTGTCCAATGACACCACAGATCACCGGGTAAATATAGTTGCCGGTTATCGGCTGCACTTGCCTCGTGCTGTCACAGCGTGAGGAAAGTACTGCCGATAACCGGCAATTGTCAGAGAACAGATTGGCACTGATCATCAGGGCACTGATGATCAGTGCCCAACAGTGCCACCCACCAGTGCCCAACAGTACCATCCATCTTTGCCCATCAGCGCCCAACAGTACCATCCACCTGTGCCCATCAGTGCCACCCACCAGTGCCCAACAGTACCATCCACCTGTGCCCATCAGTGCCACCAGTCAGTGCTGCCTATCTGTGCCGCCCATCAGTGCCCATCAGTGCATATCAGTGCAGCATCATCAGTGCCACCTCTTCAGTGCCCTTCAGTGCTGCCTATCCGTGCCACCTCACCAGTGCCCATCATTGCTGCCTTTCAGTGCCCATCAGTGCTGCCTATCCGTGCAGCCTCATTAACGCATATCAGTGAAGGAGAAAAAGTACCTGTTTACAAAATTTTATAAAACCTTTTTTTCACATTTTTTGCTCTTTTTTTGTTTAGCGTGCAAAAAATAAAACACCCAGTGGCAATTAAATACCACCAAAAGAAAGCACTATTTGTGTGAAAAAAAAATTATAAACATTTTATATGGGTACAGTGTTGCATGACCACGCAATTGCCATTCAAAGTGCGACAGCGCTGAAAGCTGATGATTGGCCTGGGCAGGAAGGGGGTATAAGTGCCCAGTAGGCAAGTGGTTAAGGAAGTCTGATGGGGTCTAAGATAGCACCCCAAGAGGAATGGCATGGGCTTCACAATTGGGAGCCCAGGATGTCCCGATATTCAGATGTAAAAAGAAATTTGTCCAATAAAACCATGTTTTACGAACCTGTTCTTCTCTATGGTGTATTGCGACCATGAACTTCTTAATTAGTTGAACTTTGTTGACCTTGGCAAAACAAGTCTTAATGGAAGGGGGTGTGGTTTGTTTCCAGAAATGTGGGATACCTACCTTTGCCGCTTTCAGCAAATTGGTTCAGCAGGCGACATGCAAATTTGGATCAGTGTATTGGCTCACTACCTCAACAGAAGTTGATTGTTTAATTGACTTCTGAGGAAGAGACATGCTGGAAAAGTTGCCATCAATCAGCATCTGCAACCAGTCAGCTGCAGTCGTTGATCAGTGTATTCTGACAGTGGTGTGAGCTGCTGTCAAAATGCAATGTCTAAGCGGAGAGATTCCTTCATCCACTGGTTTGTAAGGACAGAGCGGCCGATGGGACCATCGTCCCCTTGAGCCATTGGAGGGAGCATCGTCCTGTTCTTTTGTGCTGCGCATGTGCAGTGTGCACTCTCTCCTGTCACCTGAGATGAGGTCTGCGTCTGCGACAGGAGAGGCTACACGCTGCACATATGCAGCCCAGCAGAACAACATGGCACTCCCTCCCGTGGCACTAGGGGGCGCTGATCCCAATGGCTGCTCCATCTACGCAATAACTTGGGACAAAACCATCACAGGCTGCAGAAGATTTTAAGAAGGCTTCTTTTAGATGCGGTTTTAGACTACATTCTGTAAACTAAAAGGTAGCCCTGGCTTGAAAGTAGGTCTAGAACACTATGGGCACAATTCACTAAGCAGTATCTTACTACATCCGAGTATGCGGAAGGATACCGCACAGCATTTAAAAAAAAAGTTTGAATTCACAGAAAAACGCTGCTAAAATACTGCATGAGTTATTTTATCAAGTTATGCGGTATGTTAGTAGTGAAAACCACACGTTAATGTTTCAGCTGTCAGCGGGTTTTCCCATTGACAGCTGAAAGTAAAAGAGAGAATTTCGGCAATTAAAAAAATAATAAAAAAATGGCGTGGGGGTCCCCCCCCAAAATCCATACCAGACCCTTATCCGAGCGTGCAGCCCGGCTGGGCAGGAATGGGGTGGGACGAGTGAGCCATAAATGCTACAGGGTGTTTTTCAAAGTAATTTCTCAGCAAAGTAAATTGTGGAGACATTGATGGATGGGGGAGTTTGCGCTGAATATTAGAAAATTAAATAAAAAGTGCTTTGGGTCTCTGGTGCTCAGAGTAAATAAAAAATGTTAACTTGTCACTAGAACAGGAATAGAAGGAATATCTTCCAATGGGGACACCCCCTCACATTAGAGAGATTTCTTCTCACTTCCTGCTGGGTCTACAGGACCGGAAGTAAAGGGGGAAATCCCCCTGATAAAAAAAACTGACAGTGGTTTTAACCCTCACCTACTCTATCTAAAATAAAATAAAAATGTTTGGCTTTAGATATATTTTATTATACTTTAATGAGCAGTCAGCAAGTAAAGTTGTCCCCTAGCTGGGAGCATGTCATTATAGGTTAACTTTATCATTATCATGTATGATGAAATCCAAAGGATTTATAGAGACAAGACTGGTCAGTGCCCCTCTTCCATCCAGGCACTTTCTTTATCCTATATGGTAATAGCGCACGATTGGTAGGTGTCCCCCTTCCTGGCCAAACAAACATCCTTTTTCCGTGATTGGTCCGTGCTCCCATTTCTGGACAAGCTTTCTTTGTTCTATATGGTAAGAGGTCCCGTTTGGTCCCCCTTCCCAGTTAAGCTCTCTATCTTTATTCTATATGGGTAAAGTCCATGATTGGATGTTTGGTGCCCGCAGTGTCCAGCACTCTGTAGAACATTCCTATACGCTGAGGTCCAGATAGGGAAGTCAACCATGCTGCAGTCAGGAAAGAGACATGGAATCATTTAATCCCGCCTGACATGAGGGCCGAGAGGCGGCAGATGACATCCGTGGCCCATTGTGAAGACTAGATTGTGTTGTTGGGCCAACATGCAGTACGGATTTAAAACAGCTGCTTTCGAAAAGCACTGACATTTTCCAGGGCTTATTACCACTCCATCAAATTAGCAAAATAGCTCTAAATGCGGTTCCCTCGAGTGTCAAATATGTTTTTCTTATAAATATTGGCTGATTCCCCCCACGCATTAATGAAGATGGATCATTGCCAAGGAAATATTCAAATGCAATTTCTGCCCTCGCTGTCTGCCATATGATGCATGAGAGGTGCTTATTAACCCTTCTCTTTCCAGTCACAGCTTGCTTTGGGGGGCCGTGCGTGCCAACCTTCACCCCCAAACCTTTACCCCTGTACACTGGTGAGATGAGATTATTGGTCGTGGTATGTAGGGTGAAGGTGGCTAAGGGTATGTGTACACTAATGAGATAAGACCATAGGTCCTAGTATGTAGGTTAAAGACAGATAAGGTAACCTGTAAACTGGTGAGATAAGACCATTAGAGTTAAGCATGGTGGTGAAAGTGTCATGGTCTGGGGCTGAATGAGTGATGCGGCACTGGGGAGCTACAGTTTATTGAGGGAACCATGAATGCCAATATGTACTGTGACATACTGAAGCAGAGCATGATCCCCTCCCTTCAGAGACTGGGCCGCAGGGCAGTATTCAAACATAATAACGACCCCAAACACACCTCCAAGACGACCACTGCCTTGCTAAAGAAGCTGAGGGTAAAGGTAATGGACTGGCCAAGCATGTCTCCAGACCTAAACCCTATTGAGCATATGTGGGGCATCCTCAAATGGAAGGTGGAGGAGCGCAAGGTCTCTAACATCCACCAGCTCCGTGATGTTGTCATGGAGGAGTGGAAGAGGACTCCAGTGGCAACCTGTGAAGCTCTGGTGAGCTCCATGCCCAAGAGGGTTAAGGTAGTGCTGGAAAATAATGGTGGCCACACAAAATGTTGAAACTTTGGGCCCAATTTGGACATTTTCACTTATGGGTGTACTCACTTTTGTTGCCGTTGGTTTAGACATTAATCCCCCTGGTGGTATTCCCAAGTGTAACTCGGGGTAAACTTTCAGTACCAAAAGCGGTAACCCCGAGCTACACTCGGGATTGCCTGCTTCGTTCTCTCGGGATCCCTCTTGCACTTACCTTGTGCTTTGCTCCCGCGTTGTCCCCGCTGCAGCGTCCCCGGCCATCTCCTCCTGGCCGATTCCGGCATCTGTCTTCTGGGTTCCGATCCCTGCGAGCTTCGGGACGTATGGGGACGGAACCGGCGGGAAATTCAAAAATTTTAAAACTGACATTCACTCAATACACTGAAATCACATAGTAAAACATTACTGTATCAAAGCATTTCACATACATTTTGTCCCTAGTGCTTTGTCTTGTGCCCTGCCTGCATTTTTACTGTTCTTTCTGCCTGGAGTTAGCAGATCAAGTTTCAGAGCAGAAGGGTGCTTTGATCTCCCTCTATTTCGATGGTCAATGGGAGAATCTTCAACTCTTTCTCTGCGAGATGTTGCACACAGCAAATCCTCACTTTTCTGACTGAACACAAAAACTAACAGCTTCTTTTTTCTACACAACATCAACTAGTATCTTCACTACCTTATTTGGCAGAGGAATTGTTAGGCAGAGCTCAGCATCATACGCTGCTTGCATTCCTGAGGGAGGGGAGAATGAGGAGATACATGAAGCCCTCTTCCTACAGAGAGAACCTGTGCTTGGCTCTTATATGCACGATACTACACCTCCCCCTCTCAGGTGACTGCATATTAGTTTAAGAGAAATACCACAATGCAGAAATTTGGAGCAAAATGGAGAACTGTACTTCTCCCTGTGTGCATGATTGTGACAAGAACCACTTGCAGAATTGAGTGATAGTGATTTTGTGGGGAAATTCGTCATCAGACACTGAAAACGATTCTGCGACTAAGCTCAGTGATGTGCGAACTTGGCGCTCTATTTCAAATTTCAGTGTTTTTGGTTTGATTACATTATTGAATTAAATTTATTATTATATTATTATTTTTTAGGATTATTTATTATATTATAATTTATGGTTTCGTATTTCAAATTTTATCATACCCGGGATGTTTACTAGACTTGTTCGGACAGGTTTCAGTGAGTTATTCCTAAAAATTACAGGCCTACAATAAACAAACGACATATATTCATGAAAAAAAAATTTTACCTCTTTGAGTGCAGAAATACTGACATAATCATACCGCTAGGGAGGTTAATGACTGTGTGTTGAGTTATTTTGAGGGGACAGCAAATTTACACTGTTATACAAGCTGTACACTCACTACTTTACATTGTAGCAAAGTGTTATTTCTTCAGTGTTGTCACATGAAAAGATAGAATAAAATATTTACAAAAATGTGAGGGGTGGTGTACGTGATGCTGAGAGAGGATGCATCTACATACATGACCCTGAGAGGACACGTCTACGAACATGATATTGAGAGAGGATGTATCTACAT